CCTGTTGCTGCTATTGCACGTTTTCCGAAGGTTTGAGTTCAGAAGTATCTGCCCCGGAGCCTGTTAGCTGGCTGGTCTCTATCCTGGTCGAGGGTGGAAAAGGGCTGAGTGAATCAGACGAAGATGAATCTAGATTGACCCGCTGTCGGTCATGAGGATGACGAAGTAACACCCACGACGGCAACAAATCAGCAAATAGGCATGACACGTCGTTTGCGAATCCCTGAATTTCTTCCCACACCGTGTACGCCGTTAACGATAAAGGGCCTGGGCGAGGCACTCGAGGATCACGTCGACGTCTTCGATAACCGGGGCGTGTTTCGGCTCTAGCACGCCGTAATTGAGCACGTCTCGCTTCGTATAACGGAGTACTCAAATTTTCTTGCTCAGATTCAGTAGATTTCATTCGTTGTTTTCTCATTCCAATGGATCAATGCTTCCCAACAAACGAGGTCAATTCATGCTAAGTGTCAACCTAATGGCTAAATGGAAAAACCGTTTCTCAGTGCGTCGTCGAAACGCTAACAGTTGATACGAGCACATAGGTGACGAAAGTATTGGCTGTCGATTAAAGTTATGTTAACATTTTCGAAATCTTAGATATTATACCTATTTTCAGTACACTTGGCAAACTCCTATAATATATACTCGCTATCAAAATCCTAATATACCGTTTACTGAAACAAGAAATTGAAAAATGCACTGTCAACCGTCGCTCGATTTGAAAACGACGCGGAAGTAGGAACCACAGTCCGTATTTTCCCAAATAAGGGGTTCCTTCTGAGTCAGTAATCTTACAAGAATAGCCTAGATAGATTACCACCGTGGGGAAGCACGGAGACGAAATCAGGATAGGTTTATCTCAAGCAATAAATTATTTGTGGGAAATATTTCCGCCATAAATAGTATATCAGACTCTGCCATGCAACAGACGTTTCGAAAGGTTAGTGGATTCGCTCGTAATGCGCCCGGCAATCAGATCAAGTGTCCGTTCGGTGCCCAAAAGAATTTATATGGTTTGTCTTGATAAGTCTACAAAAAAAATTCTAAACGACTGTGCGTCGGGTCGAGGATAAAAACTAAGATTGCTATGTTTTTAGTTCACATGATAATACTAACCAAGCCCAACAAATTGCTACTTCCATGGACACAAAAGGGTAATACGTACGCTGTACGATTGAGACGAGAATTCGACTTGCTTATATGGATATCCCTCCTTAGAGTTGCCGTCGGTTCGTTTGTACCAAATGCACTCATAAATGTAGTATTTATCGATCCATCAAGACGCTTTTTGGTACCAATGCTTTCCAAATTATTAAAACCTGCTTGGCATATATGTTGTTCCTTCCGCCACTTACCGCACGTGCGCTACGGGCGTTGTTTCAGTGCTCCACTTGTGGCACTTGGGAAGCAAGGAACTTTTTTTGGCAGCGAAATAGCGCTTGTTCACCTTGTCGCAGCTATAAGTATCGATAATGTACCTATTTCGCATAGAGATGCGTTGGTACGCTCATATTTTTTATAAATGCATTCAAACAGCTAGATACGCTGATCGGATACTATAAAATACCTTTTGTAACGTACCCGCTTCTCCATTTTCGACAAACGCCTTGTTGCCATGCACAGAGTTTATACGGCCTTTCTAGCAGCATAGCTAGCAAAAAGAATTTCTATGGTAATCGAAATTACGGAAAAAAAGGCGAACTTGCAAGATTGGTTGTCTACCACTGAAACGAGTCATCGGGTTTAATACGTAGGCACATTCATTTAGTCATTTTAGTCATTTTACTATTGAACATACTTTCTACAAAGGTTCTACTTTAACTTTGTCAGGCATCTGTGTAGATATCTGAAAATGGCTTACTCGATCTAAAGCCTAGCTTTGTAGAGCCAGTGCTCTATGAGCTCTATCTATCTAAGAGATCTATGCTCAATATCTGCCTGTTATCATTCTACCCTTAGCACACATGTTTCGTTCTGTCTCTCAAGTCGACGGAATACAAGAGACTAACAATATGGTCTAGGGCAAGAACGCATACGATACCAATAAACCAGACAGAACTATATAACATTAAAAGCGTTACTCTGTTGCAAAATGATAAAGCCTGATAGTGAGCAACATTCATTTCTTTTACTTTTTCTTTAAAAAAAAAATACATGCAGTTAGGTATGATTTGGTTAAGTAGATGTGGCTGGTAGCCTTATATGAGGCACACAAAACGAATGAGCAAAACCCTTTTAAATAATTTGCTTTTGTGAAATAAGTAGTTCTAAGCTTACCGTTGTATTCTCTTCAAAGCCAATAACTTTTGTAGTCAGATTACTATAGCAGATTTTGAAGCATTGATTATCTAAATCGATCGATCGATCAAACGTGGGCCGTACATATGTTAAAATTGCTACCGGATAACTATATTATCATTAGTATATAGATGAAAATTATAATACGTCATTATTATATACTATTGTTATATGAAACTAAATAAGAGTACCCGACTTGTTTTGGTCTCCTGAAAAATTAACTGAGGGTCAATCGATTTGGCAACAAATAACGCTGAGTTTTTATTATTATTAGAATCGCCGCAGAAAATGGTGAGCGCCCTTTTTGATGTATAAAACACTAATTGCTAGTAGCAGTGGCGTTTTGACTTTTTGTTTTAAAATTAGGCCGAGTACACAAAATAGGAACTAAAACATATTCATACACCCGTGTGATCCGCAATCCTGTATTTTAACGTCGACCATGCCGTCCAAACTCAAAAGTTATAATCTCTTGCAAGCTTCATATGGTCAAACGGTAAATCATATGCAAATGACTGCGTGACAATTTCGAAGTGTGCTGCCCTATTTCGAAAACTCCCTGGCACTTGCGCTTTTTATAACAACTGTTATACAATTATGATATTAGTGTTGAAAAAGCAATTACACAAACAATATAGTAATTTTTGCCAAAACAAAAGCTGGACGATACAAAGCCACAGTCCTTTGCTTTTTTCAGGTGTTGGACAGTACCGAAATACGGACACCACGCATGCTAGCTGTTCACATCCGCCTCGAAATCTGCATCACCATTATTGAAGTCTGGTAGGGATCAAAGCACAAATGAGTTCGTTGTTGAAGCTGTCTACGAAGGTCCATTTGATAATGAGAAAAATTGAAGGAAAGACCTTCGGCACTGGGAAGGTTTGTGTGTATGTAGCCGGAACGCCCTTCTCAAGCGGACATTCTAAGCCGGATTTTATACAAGCGTTGCTGTGGGGTATCGGATACGGCACAGGAATGTTTTCTATAACTCCGAACACTTTAACAGTAATGTTGTTCATCTCTACCTCGGGTGTGAACGTTAAGGCAATTTTAGTATCCACCCCTCTTTTGAGGACGCAAACATTTTCAGTATTGGGACAGCCTTCAATATCAAGTGTCAATATCGTTCCTTTGGTTTCTATCTTCTCGCACGATTGGAATATACTGCCATTTCCAACAGTTGCCAAAGCAGCTACTGTCACCCATACGTAGAGCCACATGTTGGACTACTTTCACTTGAGATTTTGCAGAGATTTGATTTTGTCTCCGTCGAATTTCTAACTGCTTGCAGATCCTACAATGGCGAGATGTTAAATGGGGCGGCTATCCATTATTTAGCCAATGCTACATAGGCACGCCTCGGATGCACGTCACGTCAAGCCAACAGCGCACAGACGGGGACGTTTCGTTAATCCGCAACACCTATCGTGACAGAGAATCGTACACTGCGTGTGAATGGTTCATAAACCATCATTTGAAAAAGAAAGATCCGGAGAGCTGGCTAGCACGCACGCACGCTACAGCTACTTGAGATGATATTAACGAAAGTCAAGAGGCTCTTACGGGAGAATTTGTAGTTGTGAACGACACTACGCATGCACTCGCCACTTTGTTTATCATGAACCGCAACCTCACCACTTAGAAAAGAAAATATGGTTCCTTTTTGGTTACACGTCATTGATCGACACTTGACATTGATTACGTGCCCGGATTCAATAGCAGTGCGGTGTATACCGGTATGGCGTCTAAACTGCTCTTTTTCAGCAGCGTTAATTCTCTATGACGAAGTACTGGCATGTTATCCGCATGGCTAAAGAACACTCATCTTGTATAAATCCTCGTTGAACGTTGTATAAATATTGAAATTAAACCATTCTTCTAACTTGACTTTGTCTGAGTTCGTGATGAAACTTAATGTAGGTAGGACACGAAACATTGTGTAGGTGCAACGACTGCCTCGTGCAATGTTGACAAGTAAAATTGTTGTAATTTCAATATGTAAAAGTGGTTTCTTTCGGAAAAATCAGTAAGCTTAACTAAATGCAATCAGTGACATTGCAGGGCTCCAGTACGGCTGCCAAAGAAAACCCAATATCGAAGCGCTAAAGAGTATCATAACATACCAATCAAAGGCAGGACCTAGATTCCATCTATGGCAAACAAGTCGAAGAAGAAAAAAATTATCCCAGTTCAGGGTACAATTTCAATTATTTCTCACAAGTCATCGTTCGTAGCACCTGAAACAAGGATTATAACGTTGCACTTAAATGTGATCAGCCTACATTCGTATTCTATCGGTAGGCAAATTTAATTCTAAATACGATATGGCAACAGGAAACCGTATTGGGTGGGGCATGTTTCTTCACAAATAGAATATGTCGATGACGCCTTAATTCTGATAGCCATTGTTAGAAAATATCGTCCTATAATTGGAAACATATTTTTTTTTATCAAACGGCGATATATGTATATGAGTTCGTTAGAAATCTAAGAAGTTTTAATACACCGTTTCCAAAATATGAGCCAATTGTGAAGGATCTAATTAGATCTTCATGTAATATACACAGTGTAATCGATAGTACTGAATAGTTATTAAACAAATTATGGCAGTACCTTTGGTCTTAAATGAGTGAAAATCATTAAAGATGAGACATGCTAAGCTAAAATTTAATAATGCGTTCTGCTTTCGGTGGTACCTGGTTGAAACTTTTCCGTAGGGCATAAGCGTGAGCGTTGATTTCATTCGATCTGCTCGAAACGCCCAGTTTGTAAAGACGAAATTGGACTGCCTCCGGATGCAAATGTGGGCATCCCTAAAGAAGGGATCGCGAGCACATGACCAAAAGGCACACTGCAGCTGGGGTAACCCGTTGAAGCCAATGTAGGATCTACTGGCCGTGAACAATACTCTCAGTAAACGTTACATATTTTTAAGCATGTTTTATCTATAGAACCGGCATCGATAAAAGACAGTGTCAAACGATGCAATTTTATCGGACAGTCAATTTTTAAATGTACGCTATTTTAGACACATTTACAAACGCACACATAGACGTTTAGTATTTTAGTGATATATTCTATTCACTAGCGCGATTCGCCATGCGCTTACCGCCATTTGATTGAATTTCAATTAATTATTACCGACATATTTGAGTTACTAAGTGGATGCATCGAAAGTTGCTTTGTAAATAGCGTTCGGGTGTAACTGGCTTCATCATACAGAGGTCGTAACCTTTGTATCATGAACCTGTTGCTGGACCAGATAGTTATATATACGACTATTGTTTCTATTTTTATAGGCAGATGTTATTTGTTTCTTTTCCTCGAAATCACTACCATTATGATCGAGTTAACAAAAAATCACAGCATATATGAGCAATTTGCGTTTACTTACGTATGCATTTGCGTCGTATCGTTTATCTCTATTCTCCACCATCCTCCAGCCATCTGTACGCGTCTCTGTACGCCACCATAAATATCATAATTGGATTATTTCTAAGCAGAGAGTACATTCATTCTTGTTACGCCATCAATCGTCGTTAAGTTAGCGAATAAGCCGGATAGACATGAGAAAACTTTGGAGTTTCTAAGCATGGCCATGTCTGAAGGCATGCTGGTACCTGTATGCGTGTATTTGTTGACGACCAGACTGGAAAACAATAGGCCTAGCTAATAATGCTAACCTTCGCAATTGAGTATTGGTATTCGTGGCGATGTGACGTATCGATGAATATCTAACTCTCGGCTTCCGTTAAGCCATCAAGTCGATTTAGCGCCGATGGCTGTGCATGTGTGTTGTTATGCAGACGGTAAACGCCAACGGTGGATAAGGAGCCATACCAAAGCCGTGCTTTAGCGGTGCCTTTGCCAGAGGCATGAGTAAAGCTGTATGTCCTGAGATGTAAGGAAATCTGGACGCACAGGCCGCTCCTATGAGATAGGCTACGTCAGCTGTGTTCTACAGTAGTCGAATTAATGGTTCTGGCTTGAGCAGGAGCGGCTTAAACGCAGTCATAGTGTATGTGAACGTATGAAGATGCCGGTTAGGGAAATATTACGCCACGCAAGGTCAAGTTAGATACCAAGCACGTTAAACCCTCCCATAGCGATTGGAAGAAAGCTGGTACGAGAAGCTCTTACAGCGGGGACGCGATCCGGGCAAGGGGCAAAATAAATGTCTTTGTACCAGATGTCTGTTCGATCAATAGATATAAGAATTCATAAGCTTTAGAAAAATAACTATCGAGCTATTACAAGCATATCTGGTAGACCTTACGTTCGCCGACTCATTGGTGGCGGGCGAAATTTGGCTGGAAAAACTTCAGCTTTGCAACCGGCTGTGTTGCATCTTCTGGCCTTCGAAATCGATACTGAATGCACAAGTTTTCGTTCTTTGAAAGCTGCAGCGCTGTGAAAATTGATCAACAGCTGGTGCAGACACTTGATAAGGAGGCTTTCACGTTTCAAAATCGCCGATTGGAGTGCTGAGGCCAGCAAAGAAGTAACCATATATTTGCAGCAGTTAACGTTTTACGTAAAAGCAAAGCTTCGAGCTTAAGAGCTCTATTGGCATTACAACATAAATAGTGGAAACGCAGACACTAAGGAAAAAATTGGTCCCCCATGGAATGGCTCCTGGTCAGCAGCAAATGTGTGTGTGTATGCTGTATTCTATATGCAGTTTTCGGAATATTAGCCAACGAAAAACTGCCTGGAGCATAGGTTCGTTTATATATGGTTCGGTTTCTACCACCAGCCGAAAAGGCACCACACGAAAGATTGGCGTCGTTCTAAAGTGAAATCGATTTCGATAGCTATGTCAAGTACGTTCGGACGCAAGGTGATGCTTGTACTTCAAACGGATATCAAGTATGTGTCGAGTTTGCTATTTCGAGTTCCTTAAAAGACCCAACGGATCGTCGACACAGCAGTTGAAATCTTGGGGTATGGCTACTTAATAACAACGCCAGACTTCACCGCCATGTCTTTATTATTTCCTAGATTACGCAAGGGAATATCTAACTTTAGCAACAGTCTGCATACTTCCAAAGTTTCACGCGCTAAAAAAGAACTGCCAGAGAGATAACTCATAAAAATAGTTCCAGCTCAGCTAGTTCGAAAGTTATCTAATTTCTAATAGCTCATTACATTACCAGATGCCAGTCACGTTTGGGTGCTTTTAGATTGCTTAGTGGAACTTATATGGCCATAAACAGACCATGATTTAGTCATGTCTAGAAAACTATGTTTAAGCAGAATTGTTTCTATTAGATATAAATGATGATGATGATGATGATTAATAACACTAATGCTACTACATACACCCTGTCGTGACAGTCTGACTGCCGGCTGATAATAATGCGGTATCAGTTTATCGACATGCTAGATCGTGACTCCGCTCTAAAGGATGTGCTTGTAATACGGTCCGATCCGTTCAACTGAAATTGTATCTTGGAGGGACGGTGATACCGCAGACGTCAGCCGTTCCAACGATAACCCGGAGGCATCATGTCAACTATATAGCAATCATCTCAGTGGTCCAATGCGCCGAGAGATACGGGAGCTTGTCTTTTAAGGTCACGTCATCGGGTCAGCACTAAGTAAACTTCGGCAACATACATGTAGAAATTGTAATAGGCCGTCTATAATATTTTAATTATTTTATATAGAAATGTAGTTACGATTATTGGCTCAGTTGACGGCCCATATTTCCCATTGATTCGATATTTGTCAGCATGAATGAACATACTCCGTTGTTATGATAAGTCGTAAGTTACGTACAAATTTTATGTGAGGTAATGCGACGTAAGTGACTTATGCTGTATTTTACAAGCTAGATCTTGTTTGCCGTGCTGCTTTGTCGCACAAATACTCCTTTGAAAGTACGCTACATTATAATTCGTACGCCTCAAAAGAGCCTCTCGGTGATACGAAGCGTGTATTTTTAGTACGTCAACAATTTATTCGCAATATATTTGTTAGTAAATTCTATTAGTTCGCACCTTGTTAACCGAGACTAACGTTTTTCAAGCGAATTTAACTGGTGATTTTATTTGTTGGGTTACTCATGTTGACTGGTACAGCGTAGAAGATCACACTTTGAAGTTTCATTTTTACTAAACTTATATCAAGCTTATTGCAACAATCCAGTATTATTTAAACTGAGCTTCAGGAACCTGAATTGGGTTTCGCGGATTATGTTTCCTTGCCCGCATCCATCGACTATACACATAAGTTATGGATAGGTTTTATAGCAAAGGATCTTTATAATCTTCGTTATACTGTTAATTAATGTTTACATGTTTGCACCGTCTACAGCTTGTGCAGCCCTTCTAAAGTTTGAATGAAAAGAGTCTCATGTTATAAAGTTTAGCTGTTACACTAAAAGCTTTTATTATGGATACGTCTGCTTCGTTATGCCTCGTGAAGACCCGCATATACTATGGCATGTTCGTATGTAGGCTGCTTCTTCTAGATAATTTTCAATGACCTCAAAATATGTGCCAACCCCGTATGCACATGTTTTGCCTTAATACTGGTCAGCGTAGCCCTTACACTCATTTCAGGATTAACAGCTAATAGGGTAAAGCTCAAGGTGGGTGCACACTATCCTGGCTTCCTACATGGCCGTGCTTCCCGCTCTTAGTTAAATATCGGTCAAAAGATATATGGCTTTTCATCACTCGTCTCGCCAGCTATTACGTTGTTCAGTATATTGCCGCAGACAGTTGCGCATTATCCAGTTATTTAGCTATGAAATTTTCGGTGTTGCTAAGTGCCAATCCTATAATACGACTTGTTTTAACTTATGGTAATACGCTATTTGCTAACTTCCCTAGTTTCTCGAAGAATCCTAGATCTTGTTCATTGATGCATCTTCCGTACGCTTAGTGGATGCACTGTCAGTGCTGCTATGTACGTCTTCTATCTAACTACCCGTTCTGATTTAGCGATGAGCGTACAAACATCGATTTTCATTGTTGCTTTTCATATATACAGGGCTAAGAAACTGATGCAGTAGCTGCGTTATCGGAGCTATTGACTGTAATCAACTTAATAGATAATGTAAGGCAAGACAGAAAAGCGTAAATTAGAGTATTAGTTATAAAAGTCAATAGATCTGTAAAAGTTTCTCCTTTTTTTTTAGGTGGTGATGATAACTTTGCCTCAAGTAGTCATAAAATATAGAAGTAAAATCATTATTTTTCTTTCGCATTCATTATTTTGAAGCAATATTCGTATACGTTCGAACTGTTTATGTGTCATATCTTAGACAAAATTTAGGCACTTTGAGTAGGGTGGTACGAAAATTCCGTTTTTGAGGACGCGCACAACCGAATTCGGTTTGCCAGAGAATGCCTCTCTCATCGAATAGCTACCACGTTTTACAGGATTGTGGAGCCGTTTTTAGAACTCATTCATCAATGCTATTAAAAGACAGGTGAAAAGATTTTATCTCTGTCCAATAACTAACTCCAATAAAATTTATAATAGCAAACCTAGAGCCTATTACTATAATATATATATATATATATATATATATATATATATATATATATGTTATTGAGGAAATCGGTGATGTTTCTTGTCCGATTTTATGTTACTTCATTTTGTTCTGTTGGCTGGTGATATTCACTAAGGGCAACGGGTCAAGGGTGTGTCTGCCTGTTGGAGGTATGTCAGTTAGTAATATTATGTAGTCCCATCTCTATCTATTATCACGTTACCAGGGTAAGCACAAATGTCACTCTTAATACTTTTGCTAAGAACCAAGATTTAGCCAATCATATAGATCGCAAGATTTCAAATGATAGACGACGATTGCTTAAATAATTCAAAACAGTACCTGTTATTGCTGTTCTTGTTGTTAAGAACAAACTTGACTGTTGTAAGAGTGACAAAAACAATACAAACCCTCCTCATCTGCCATTTTGGGCATTAGCTCTCAGTGAGCAAAAATGATACGACCAGATAAACAATTTGCATAATCATGTTTGATTCACACCGTTAATCGCAACTCACAGAGGATGGTAGCTTTGGCAACATTATCAACGTATTATGACACGACACTCTGCGCTGTACTTAGATGTGCTATATATAAATATAGGGTTTATCAAATGAATAGGAAATCACACATTACACCCTATTTCTAATGGATGCTTTTATACTTAACAGCATTGTTGACAATTTGAGATCCTATTTCTTTGCTTTTATAATGTTCGCTTTGTTGGGGAACGCCGATGTTTGCGCTATAGCAGAAGAGCTTTATATTTCGATCGTCATTGATAATGTGGCATATCATCGTGAACGACATTTTCTACTGTGACGAATGTATCTACAATTTTTGAGACCGTAGAGAAAAATTTTATCAGAAATACATTTAGCAAATATTCCGGATTTAACTTCTTATAACTTTAAGAATTTATATATATATATATTTGTCCAGTTAACAAGCAAACTCTGAAAAAGCCACATCAATGATGCCTATCTATATTCAGCCTTGGGAAAACTATCCGACTATCCCGTCGGCCTTTGACTCTTTAGTGAAAGGACAGGAGTTGTTTCCACTTCGAGGAATACGCTGAGGATGTTCTCGGAGAAGGTGTATTCGATTGCGGGTGCCTTTTGTAATTCCATGCCATTTTATTTGAAGATTCGCAACGTATTTGTCTGGTATTTTCCGACATATAATAAATCTATTTGAAGCGACTGATGCGCTATTGTGAACAGAAATTATTTCGAAAATTTTTTTGTCTCCGAGCGCAAAAAAACTATTTACAGTGTAAATTGAAGGTTGACCTAGCTACTCAGCGATATTTTATTATTTCCCAAGAAAAGTTGACCTACCTAAAAGCTCTGTCTAAAAAAGTAAGCCTTCTTAATCACTCACAAATATTTTGAAATTCTATGTACTGTTTGGTATTGTTTGTTTCACAAGCACAAACCTTGCTCTGGTTTAAAGTGGCAGCTAAATATCGCAGAAAGATCGAAGTCTGTTCCGGCAACATGGATAAAATGAACTTCCTTTATATACAAGACTGAAACTTTTTTAAAGTCTTAGTACGAGGAGAACCACTCTTCCGGCAGCATTTTCTTCGACTATAGTAAATGTCAAGAAGTGAAAAATCAAAAATGTCATCAAATCAACCGTGGAAAAAATAGACTTTTATACCGAAACGCTTTGCGTATTCGTACTAGTGTATGGAAATGTTTGGTCACAGTTCATGTGTGTGGTTTGTGGACGTTTTCACTCTAGGTATCAGGCATAATCGAATTAGATTATCACATATAGTGAGCCTGGGAAAAGCGCTGTCTGGTTTCGGGACCAAAGAAGTAAGCCCAAGATAGCATTTCACAGAACGAGTCAAAAGTCCTCGGACAGTTGAACAAACTTCAATAGATGTCCAATGAAGACTCACTAACTGCCAAGAGACTTTTGGCCCACCTTGTGTATTTAATATTGCTATAATTGATTGTATCATAATCTTCTACTATAGAACTGCGAGTAGATCTTGAACAGAGCCGATTTGCAACTGCCGGAGTAACTCACCAAGCTTCCAACTCTGCATGACGTAAATATATACGCTAGGGATTTAGTAAATCGTCTGGGTTAATCGTTTTCCTAAAGCTTTTGCTAATATTTATACGAAGAGTTAGGTGGAAATCTTTTAAAATAAAAAACTAAAGATTATTGAATCTTCTATTAAACTGGCATCTTTTTACTAATGTACCATGTGTGCATCATAAACATTTGGATCTCGCTCTGTCACTAAAAATGAAGACTGATTATCTCGTGTTGTAACACGATAGTTGACGCTTATATAAAATAAATTTACATAAAACATTCAAGTGAAGCAAAAGTCAACCTGTTCTGGGTTTGCTCGTAACTTGAAACAGTGTTTTTGGCCAATAGAACACTTTGCTTCAGGGTACTATGTGTTTACGTTATTCTTATTGATTGACGAATTGCATTACATTAGCTAGCGAGTAACCTACGTAGAGTGGATGAACGCTACGTTATGCATGTAAACTTCGAAGAGAGGGACGTCGACAAAACCAAAAAAGAGCAGTTACTCGAGCTAGAGTCATCTGACCTCGTGGGTTCTACCACAAGATCATACTATACACTTCCTTAGACGCCAGTAAATACTTAGCATGCTCATCTAAATACGAAGATACTAAGAATTAATTAAACCATCCCGGGATTTAAAATATAACATCGAAAATAATATTATTCTCAGAGTGTTTACGATTTTTCGTATATTCGATCGATAATGAAATTATAGATGAGCCGGTACGTACTCACCCTTCATTTGATAATTAATTACCACATTACAACCTTGGTTAATGTGTTTAAATTTAAATGTCAAGGTCGGATATATTTGTTAAAACTTCACTCATTTTCTCATTTACTCTAGTCCAAAAGTAAAAAAAAATACTATGAATCTTTTTTTTTTTTTATAACTTAAGGTAGATGTAGAACTCAGCCATGAAAAACCTCCAATGGCCGTGTCCGCTTTAGGTGCTAACTTCACTTTTTTTTGTCGTTTTATAGTAATAGTTTTTAGGTACAGCGCTGTTGCATGATGATCTGACAGTCCTAAAACTTCATTATTGTTTGAAAGACAACTAACCTGATAATGTTAAAATTTAGATTAATCCGCTGACGACGTGGGACAGGAGCTCGGATCTGATGTGTAAAGTGGTGCTAGAAAAGGTATAAAACAAGAACTACTTCTTTCGCCGAAAAGTGTGCTTTGATTTTTCTGTAAAGGAAGAAAATTCAAGTTATAGTAATTAGTGCGATTTAGCGTCAGCGAGCGATATAACATCGACAATGGTGTTTTCACATAGAAACGCATGCCTCAGTTAAAAAAAGACCTTGGGCTTTATCGAAGCGTAAACCAGATGCCTGAGTGTCCTGTCAACCCAACTATAGCGGAGCCGATAAGCTGATTTTTTCGATAATAGCACAATAGTTAGATACTATTGTATGTTTGTCAGTGTATCGCATCTCGAGCATTATAAACACGCCAGAGCGTCAAAGTGCTTTCAGCGTTTTCAAAAACAATGAGCGTGATAAATACTTGTCTTTCACTAACAGGTGAAAATTCATGACGGCCTTATTTCGTTGCACAATCTAACGCATTATGTTATGGACACTGGACGTATCGGAACAGTTTCAGACCCGACTGCAATTAAATTGTCTCCCGTGCCGCTTCTATGTCTGGCCGTGGCCGCCCGCAGAACACCGGCGAGCGATAAGCGTCAGACCACATGGTCTGAATAACAGGCACGTATGAATAGATGTACCAAATATTGCCCTATGCTAAAAACTATTCTACGCGAATGCGAACTCCACTTCTGCTCTCGTAATGTTTGTCACACGAGGCAAGAATTTGCCTAAGTTTCTTTAAAGAGAGAGGCGTTCGCTCACCTTAGTGTAGAACCGGCGATGACGAATGTAACACAGATAGGGGCAATGCTTTCTGCCACACTGAAAATCAAACTATGTGGGTTACTATACTCCTACTGTGTGGAAAGTCTTATTCACCATTTTGTAAAACTATAGATGAGTACATTTTTCTGTCATGTAATACTATGATAATAACACGGCAATTTTGAGCAATGTCATCATCTTCGAACATTTGAAACCCTTTTTTCCTAACAGTTGTGTCTGGAACAAACAAGTTTCGTTCTATTAAATCGCGTTTCGACAGCACTACCCTTTAAGTGACAAAGATTGCTAACACGTAAACTACGCGTACACGGTTCCATGTGAGTGGACGAGGCAGACCATCAGTGTTTCATAATATTATTCCATTCGTATTTTTTAAGAAGTGCAATGATCTTAGAAACTGAAAGAAACGTTGACAATTTTTACTAATAATCCTGCGACGCTTCATATTTTTCCTCTTAATAATCCCCATAGTCCTTTGTTACTTCTTTTCAGCTATGGACAGCCTACGCGAGTTTAGCTATTTGCTGGGAAGGGTACGTTTTGATTTCACCATTCTCGTTGCATTGGCCAGATGCCCAAGGACAGACTAAAGAGAAGATTCAAGTTCTGCGTTTCACCGGCATTCGGCCTGGTGAAACGCAGAATTTAACCTCACACAGACATGAAAACATTACGAGCTTACGACAACAAGGTAAACGACGCTAAGATAGGATGAGATTATGGATTGTCTGTTTAGATAATCTCATCTAGTTTATTTTAGAATGCACGCGAGAAGCAGCACTGCTAAATGCTGCAGCCGCCCGCATATAGCTGTTCTCAAATAGACGGTGAAGTAAGGAGCTCCGCAACCGGATGTCGATAGTAGTTGAAAGCTATAGTAGTATAGATAGTAGAAGTTCTTGCACAGATCGTGGCAGATGATTTTTTTTGTCTAACGACCTAAGTATTCTTTGTCGCCAAACTCAATATAGAACATTTGCTAAAAAATCATCGCCACATTTCAGACGCTTCCTTCGTGCAGCACTGTTTGCTTATTTCAACAATGCTTTCCATTCTGTACAAGTATATTGTACATTTATTGTGCGATGAAGAAAAAGAATAGTTCAAAAATTCTCTCAAACAGAGATACGAGTTAGATGAAAAGATGGCAAATACATTATCGCTTACCTCGACTTTGCTTTATAACTGAAATCCCTTTAATCGATAAAGAAGACAGCGAAAAGTATTCTCTATTGGAAAAAAAAGAAACAAAATGCGACTCTGCATCAATAATAGGATTAGTACACACTTACGTAACGCATTGTTGGCTTTGTATCCAAATAGCCTTTATCCAGAACCGTTCATCCCAAATATTAAAGACCTGCAGTTTATTACAAGGCTTGCTAACGCTCGACAAAGTTACCTACCCGTTGTTGACAAGGTGAAACTCACGTTCCACGCTGATGCACTCAATGCCTGACGGTAATGAGATTTTGAAGGCAATCAATAACTTTGTTCAAGAGGAAACCAACGATTTTCTTCCCCAGATTTTGCGAGAGCCTCTTCATCAAGATACAGTGATGATTCTTGTCGATGCACAATATTTCAAGGGCGGCTGGACAAAACAGCTGACGGTGAAAGGTTTGGCGCTTCCCTCCAACGAAGCTTGCGAAAGCCTTGAAAAGGAACACGCTAAATGGCTGATGGTTGAATAACGGTAATTGAAGAAGTTTTGCCACCGTTTCGGGCTAACGTATATTTTTGTTGTCGTCTTCGTCGTCGCTGTTGCTTTGAGACAGTCATAACATAAAGCGTACTGGCTTTATAACATCCATTCATAAACCATTGAACCAAACCAGAGTGATAGGCGTTAATTTCTTCATAAGTCTCACCCTCCGATAATACAGCAAAGGTAAAAGCTAACAAATAAAAAAACTAGCCAGCCAGCCAGCCAGCCCGAATATTAGTTATGCGGTCTTTAGTTACTCGTATGTTGAAAGCAATAAGTTGTCAGATATCATAAGCGCTTTTCCGTTCTAAAGTCTGCATCTTCAGATGCCAAGTTCCATGTCTTCAATGCGCCTGCACAAATGTTTATAACAAAGATGTTCTGCCAAACGCCAATGTGCAAAGAAGACAATATGTATTCATTCGAAAATAATTAAATCAACGCGCTATATTCCTATAAATCAAGCGTACTGCTACAGAAAAAGCAAGCATCCCGTGGATAATGTTGGCTTTCGAGTGTGGGGTGTACTAAGCCAAGATGGTATAGGTTCTACTTGCCGATAGTGAACAGTGTAAAACCCTTTAAACAACGAAAAAAGAAATTGTCTAGAACGGTGTCCTGCTTAGCTAACTTCTCATCTACTTTTCGGCAAATTGTGATCGGTAGGTCTCATGTCACGGGTAAACTGTACTCACTTGCTTCCTGACGTCTACTTGGAAATATGGCTATTTGCTAATATCAACAAAACGATATAAATACAACGGATTAAAAATGATACAGGATCGAGTCGGAACCACAAGAAACCATATGTTAGCGGTGCTGACTAAATCCAACAACTATCAGAGTCGACCGATACAAGCAACATTTTTTTTTAATTTATCGCAAGATGATAATTCATATATATTGCTTTTCTATAATGTAGGTACATGCTTTATTTGTAACCACAACGGCCTCGGTCAGGACTCTCCTTGCCGTTTCTAAGTCAACTACGGTATCTGCTCATTTTTAGCTATAATAATAGCTTTCCGAAGAGGAAGCTGAGCTATCCTTTTCCCCTTTAAGGCTAACTAACTCCAGCAAATTATAGAGTGTAACTATGTGCAAAAAAGTTCGAGTCGGTGACCCGTAGCTAGGACTAGATAGCCTCCAATACGAAGCAAAGGTAGATATATGAATAAACAAGTCAATAGGCATTAGATCTCGGTCAAATGATAACGGTGCAGACAGCCTAATAGGCTGTTTCAATACCTCTCCGTCGTGATCGTCTCCCGCTAAAGGCAAAAGAAAAGTGACACGATAGAATCACCACTTCCAGAAAAATTTCAAAACTCGCTTTTTTTCATTGAAAATTGTTTCATCCAAACGCAATATATCTAACTCGTGATTCGTATTGTATTTTTTAAGCACTTGTCTATTTTTTTTGGGGTAGTCACAGCTGGCCAAAATATGTGGCGAGCTTGACCAATGCTTTTATAGAATAAATATATAAATTGTGTTGGCGAAGCCAGGCGGCAAGATCGGAGAGGGGGACCTTGATTGATGTCACATATAGCTGAGATCGTGCACGTCATTTTTCGTGCATAAGTTAATATCCTCTGCAACGGGGTAACGAAAATAAAACGGGGATAGGGTAGGTTTTAGGCAACTGCAATGAGCTTGACTTCAAAACTCCTGTTCAGGCCGGCCAGTATACACTTGCTTTCAGCTTGGATTCCACAAAATAAATCTCAGAACGGTTATGCTTAGCGTCCAGTTGTCGTGCACGATGTATGTTGGTATTCGTTGCCACACGGCTCGAGTAGCGGCTGTCGCCCTTTTATATGTCGTAATGGTACGTTACGGTGACGTTGTTCTCCAGATGAAATCTGCCTATTATTAGTCGTTGCGTAAATGATCTTTAGAGTAGAGTCTACATGTTTCCATTTATAGAATAGGAGAATCTATATTCAAATAACCCAAATAGTTTGTGAACTATATAAGGCAGGGCAGATATATTTGGACCTATGTTCTCTCTACCCTCGTACAATGACCTTAACAGCTGTGTACTTGTTATGATTTCTATTGTCGGCGGCGTGCTTGATAAAATCAATAGCTAGCTATGCTATACTACTCGTTCCCTTCGAAACGTGCAGGTAATCGAAATCATACGAACCTCAATCTGACGGAATAATTGTTTCGTGCAGTATAATGTAATAACACACATTAACCCCCAACTATATTCAATTAACAGTACAGATTGATCCGTGTGTTGTCTATGGCAACAGTATACTCAAAGCAAGTTTTGTCTTCGTAAATTCCTTCTGGACTAGACTATACGTGTTTCTACCTGCCTCGAACCCAAACGGCGTGAAATCAACCTTTTTTTTAAATATAATTCTATGACACATGTTCTATGTGTGATTCTTTTTCGCCTAAAAGCTTCCCTGATCATAGCAACTAGTCTCTCCGTTTGAGGTACTAACATGTGCTTCTTTCTGTGATTTTCGGGCCGTCAATTTCGACTTTTGCAAAATCGTTCCCTTAGTAACTGTTGTATTGCTAGAAATGCAATAATCTTCAATGCGTCCTCTAAGGACTGTTTACTATCAGTACTAAACGTTATTTTTGCCACTGAATCAATCAGTCTTAAGTCAAAGAAGATTTGATAGAAAATTCAACATTATTTTGTCCGCTATTGTTGTTACTGTTGATAGTTGTTCGAATCCTTTAATGGCCCAAACAAGTTATTATGTACAGAGTCAATGCAGAGTAAAGTAACAATTATATTACTATATTATTTTTTATAGTAATGGCCTATCTAGATAGGAAACGGTATCTATATGTTCCGAGTAGGAAGTTGCTGATTTGAATTTGCCAAGACTCACACATATTAATAAGGCAATATACCTTATCTATTATTATTATTATTTTAGCGGCCATGTTTTACCGTATCATCATGAGAAAGTCGTGTAGCGGCACAAACGATGTTCCGTAGGTGGCACAGTTGTAACAAAGTGACCTACTAAAAAAAAAAATTGTCAGTAAGCTTATGTTAGATTTTTCTATATAAATAAACATTACTTGGGCAAACTCTATATGGTTTCACTTGGGACTAGGTTGTGTTCCTTATTTACATCTATACCGAGAATGCACTTGCTAACAGAAGCCTAAACCTAATGCTAATATTCTATTGATTTTTTAAAAACCATGCGCGACAAATTGAAGTCTTGTCTGTGGAGACTGTATGTTGTATACGTTAATAATCGTTACTGCTCTGATACCCTTTCAGCTTTTTGTTCCAAATAATAGGCACACGATATAAACAGCGTTGGTGCTTTAACGGAGTTATAACGTATATAGTTCGCCCAGTTCCTGCCGCTTGTTTGCAGGAAAAGCCGTATTTTTTTTACCAATCCGACTAGTTAAGCAAACTAGCAGTCTTACCGCCTGCTTACGAGTAATTGCCTCATTTGCTTCAACGGAGGCCATTCAAGTGCTCAGTTTCAATGTCTTTCAGGATGAACGTCTCAGCAGAGCTATCCTCAAATCATTTGCTTACTTTTGGTTAGATTTATGCCTTTTCGTTTTATGGCCGGATTTGTCGCTGGAATGCTAGCGTAGATTCGGGTGTGAAGTTCTAAACATTCATTAATTCAGTTAAACTCTTACCACGTATCTTCACGTCAATAAGATCTTATGATTCATTCATCAACGTACCTATGTATAAAAACTCACTGCGAATAAGAGTATATTTTTCGAGGTATTTTTGCCGCCCTATTGGTTTCATAATTTCCTAACCAGCTATCATGCCAAAGAATAGTCTGAGCTACAGCTGACAACAGCTGCTGCTTTTCTTTACCGCGGCTGTCTGTTATGTTTTCAGCGCTTCTGGCGAATAGATCGTTGTTTCGATCGTCTGGCTCCTGAATGCTGAGAATTGTCCCTTGGAAAATCACGCGAAATCGTATATCTTTTCTTCTTTTTCAATGAATCATAATCGATATGAATCATAATAAACGACGGACGTATTGTAAAAAAAAAACGCATCGCTACACGTTTTTTTTACGGATTAAAACTGATTAACGTCACGATAGCGTAGTTGTAATTATATAGGATTGTCTGCTTCCGTGTGACGAAGCTCATACAGACGGCATACCATCGGTATGCTCTACGAAAGAATCCCTCTACTCATTGATGTTAGAAACTAACAGAAATTTTGTGAATACTGAATGATGCGTCAGAGAAGCGTTCTTTAAAGCGTCCCAGTCTCAACCGGTATCCCTTCCAGCCTTCTTGCACTGTCCCGGTGAAGCGAGATCCTATAGATGGCCGAGTAGGCTATACGTCGTTGCAACATCTTCGTAACACACAATAAAAATAAATGCATTATTAGTATATGATGTATATTATAATATTGATGAAAATCTATGGATAAACAAGAGCATACCTCCTGCGTTCTACGCTGAGTAATTTTGTGTTATATACCTCGGCTTTAAATCAGTCTACTTCCTGCTACTCCCGGAGACCCTGGCAGACCATAGCATCAACGTAGACCAGCGAATGAAATACCATGCAATGTTCACGGAGCGTTCGGTTCCGGTCGATCACCTGTAAGGTCGGTCACCGTGCGTGAGCCTGAACGTTGCAATGTTTTCGCCTGTAATTGTTTTATGTTTCATTACAATTAACCTAATATAGTATACTCACTCCGTACTTACTGTTTACGTATTATACTGTGTATACTGGTTGTTGAAAAAGCACTACGCGCTAATGCCGACAGCTTTCGGGACATTTTTACGTCGATACTGAATATAAATACTAGTACGCCTGCTCCCTCCCCATTGAGTATTCGATTCCGTATCTATCCATAAAATTTGATCCGAATATGACTCAGCCATATTGATTAATGCTTTACTACTTTTACGCCTGATTTGACTAATTAAGCGTCACAGTTCAATGTGAAATTGAACGACCCTGTTGCCGACGAAAGAATGCTTTTTGGACAATTTGTTAAGTGACTGAGCCATTATAAAGCCCTTAAAGGTGTTGAATGATAGGCGCATCAAGGCGGCGTATTCTAAAGCAGAGTGTATGGAACTCAATGTTGTGGCGCAAGACGACTCTTCAATAGAAAGAACCGTAGTGGGTATTATTGTGTAGAGCACTCAGTGTCACGCCCATCATTCTGTTTGCTGAACCAGTTACTAAGACGTTGTCGATGTATCGACAAGCGTAATTTTTAAGGTCTGCCGAAAATTACGACATATCCGCCTGAGGTGCCACATCAAGACAAATAATTTATCTTTCAAGCTAGATTGGTACGGTAAAGTACCACATTCTCGTGTTGGACCTACGGTGATCTAGATAGTGGTTGAACCGAGTTTCCTTGCTCGTTACTCACATTTATATAGTTATTTTTTATAGACACTCAGCTTGAATGAACAATGAATTCTTGGCAACCTTGGGACGGGAAAGGGATGTTATCGGTACCTAGATGAATTCTATAGTCCGAGTAATATAACCTTTAAAGACTGTCCCGGTTACTTATCTTTTCCATCACTTTCACTAAAGGAAACCAGAGTGAATCTCATTGTCCGACCTTTCCCGCTTTCCTTTTTAATATACAGTAGCAGTAGAGTCGCTAAACATTCGACTTTAACACTTTCAGATCGATGACAATGAGGTTCCTGGTTACCCTTATACTGCTCACTGTGGTTGGTCGCGGTGCCCGAACCCAGATTACACCGACTGAGAGCGAGAAACAGGTTGTACCAGCCGGAAGAAAGATATGATTCATATTGAATATGTTTATCATCCTTTCCCCTAAATAGATACTAATTTAGTTCTTATACGATAAAAGAAGATTTTTTCCTTCCTGGCTTCGAGTTTTTACTTCGACATATCCGTGTTACCAGCGAAAGCTTCCGCTAACGTTCCGCTCAGCTCATATGACTAGCGTTTTGTGCACAGAACGTTGTTAAATAGAGCAGGTACTTTGGATAAAGCTGGCCTGCGGTCGCAGACTACGGCGACAGTTCGAAAGAAAGCACGCTTCTCTAGATGTCTAACTTGAAAGAAAATACACGCGCGAAGCTCATGATTTCCAAAATGTTATGTTGGTGTTTGAAGATGACAACTGACCCTCTCAGATGATACCGTTCTTAACCTGATACAGTATCAATGATTCGTTATGGTTCGGGTGTTCCTTGTTTGGTTTTTCTTAATTAGCTTACGAGTCTACTAGTTTATTCCCATGTTCCGATATAGCTATGGACTGCCGTGGGCGAGTTCGGCCATTTGCTTCTAAAGGTGACGAGTGAACAAATGAAGCGTCAGGATAACGTGCTTATCTCGCCCTTCTCGGTACACACCGCTTTATCGATGGTTGTGCCGGGAGCCCGAGGACTCACCAAGGAAGAGATGGTTCGCACTCTACATTCCGGCAGAATCGCGCCTGGCGGACTTCAAAATGTATTTTCTCAAATCACTGGACGTAAGCAGAGAAACACCACTACGGCAGGACAAGTTTTTCCAGGTAAGAGCCATAATAGCTTCAATGATGACAATCAGTACATCGACCTGAGCATTATGAAAAACACAAAGGCTTATCTTAAATATGCACCTGCAATCAAAAGACACGTTCAGTAATCCACTGGTTAAGTATAATCTAATGGCACACATGTGCAAGCAATCTTATGTATATATCACTTAATATTACAAAATGTCTATGCAGGTATAATTATATATACATATAGGTGATTTATAATGTAGGTGTTCTCGATTAAAAAAAAAAATAAAACCTTGAATCTTTTGAAGATTTGCAGTTTACCGTGATATTAGCCAACCGCTTGTATGCCCAAAAGAAGTACGCATTCGCGCCAGGATACGTCGACGACCTAAAGTCAACGTTTCACGCTGATGCCGTAAATGTGGATTTTTCCAACGGTGGAGCTGTTCAGAACGAAATCAACGACTTTGTTAGGCAGAAAACTAACAATCTCATTCCAAAAGTCCTGCAACAGCCCCTCAATGAAAATACCGTGATGGTCCTCGTCAACACTCTGTACTTTAAAGGCGATTGGCAGAAGAAGATGTCTAAAAAGAACCTGGCGCTTACGTTCAACAAGGGTTGTGAAGGCCTAGAAAAGCCGCAGGATAAATGGCTAGCTGTTACGAATCGGTGCGTTTGATTGCGTAACTTTTTATTACTAGCGGAATGCGGTAAAAAATTACACCAGGAAATCCAAAACTCTGTCTTTTTTTTAAAAAAAAAACTAGGGAGCATGTTTATAGAATAGCCTGGAAAGAGCCTATATTCACGAGTTACTCCATCCGCTATCAGATAGGAGGTTGGTCGTAATGGATCTGAATAAGAGATGACTAATTTCCAGGATGCCTTACCTCGAGTCGGCGAATTTAGGTGCCAAACTTGTTCAAATACCGTATAAGTCCCGCGAGTTTTCAGCTAGAATGCTCATTGTGATGCCGAGTGACGAGAACAACTGCAACGCAAAAGAATGGCTTGAAAAACTTCAGTGGAGCAGCCTACGAGAGGAAATTAATAAGATGAAGAGTAGGTTTTACCTTGTGAACGTAATATACAACAATTTTTGATTATAGACCTATCAACGGAAATCAAGTTTGCTCGACTATTTTTACTGATCACCGTTAAACTGATTTCAGCCACTAATGTTGCACTCACCATGCCCCCCTTTGAAATGAGATATCGTGCCGAAATACATAACGTGCTCCCAACGATGGGCATGTCCCAGGTGTTTAAGAGGGGTGAGGCTGATTTATCAGGGATGGTAACCGATCCAAAGGAGCGTCTTAACATCGACCAGATCATTCATGAGACAAAGGTATTCACTTCACGATATCTGATTTGTGATGCTGGAAAATTGTACAATATAGCAACATTTAGCAGATCACACGGGAGTAGCATATAACAAAATGTTTCTTCCAGCTCAAACCGTGGTTTATTTTACATTTACGACTCGGCATTGCTTAAAGTCGCACAACAAATGAGTTAACTTCTCATTAAAGGATTTTACATACACGAGGCACCAGTATCCCAGTTTAATTCCAGATCATCCCGTTCTAGCTGTAACTTCATTCACTGTTTATTACGAAAATGCCTTTCTGATAGTATTTTCTAAACACACGATGATGAACAGGACAATTGAGGTCTATCCTTTTTTTTTATGACGATGATCAGTACATCCACGATCGTCATCGGTTTGCAAGTTAAATGTAACAAGAGCTAATAAGACATTCGATCACACATCAACAGTTTATACGGCGGACGGAAAAGAACAACGACAGTTTTTCTGTGCTAGTTTCCCTATTACAGCCA